ATAGGGGGTGCAGAGCGTGCACTTCAACAGCCATCTAAAGAGACGAATACAAACATTCGGTTGCCCGGTTCTTCCCCAAATCCAAGCAAAGGGCACTTCCTTTGTGATAAAATGTATTTCTTTCAAAAGCGGATGACAGACCCCGTACCACAGCGTTGGACGATCACAGCAGCGGTGTCCCTATTTCCTATAAGGATCCATTGAGTATTGACCATTCCCAGCACCTGAGGGGCCAACCGGCCTCTTACGGTACCGTCAGTAATCAGCATCTACGAGTCTAAGGCCCGTTTCTGCAAGATCACTTTACTAATACGTTTCTGAGGGCCTTCACATATATTTTTTTCAGAACGACATGCCGGCCTCGCCCCACGCTGATTTCTGCAGGTCCCACCGGTCCCACACCACTCACACACGCCTAGAAAAGGGTACCCACTACATCAAACTATTTGACCTCCGGCTCCGGCTGCAACGGAATCAGAGGGCCAAGTCGATCTCTAAGGGTGTAAGCCCCGAGGACCCACGCCATCTTCTAATGACCCCGTTTCTGGCCTGTGACAAACTGCTGAGGACCCAATACGGATTTCGTATGTAGGGACCCTTGTTGACTACCGTCTACTGAAGGCCCGAAATCGTGTTATGAGGGTAGCCGGTAACAAATCGGCTTATGAGAAACCTTCTCAGGTCTAAGAGCCCGAGACGAAGAACTCTAAGCGGCATGTGGATTGTAGAATGTGCATCCCTGAGGTTTCATACCGGCGTAGGGCCCATGATTACATTCGAAGGCATAGAGCAGGCTCCCACTGGCCTGAGTCCTCGCGGCACTGCCGACACTGATCCTTCGACGTCTGACGGGCCTCCGTGGGCCGTGGCCCGTGGGTCTCCTCGCCCTCGCCAGACCGTAGTCTTTAGCGCGGACAGCCAGCGAGTTGGTACGACCTCCCTGGCAATTGCCTGCTAGGCACTTATCACTTTTAAAGTTCATTTAAAAATTAAAATCAAGTGACCATAAGTTCGTAAGTTCACATAAATGCAGCATATCGCACATCATTCGACTCGGCTGATCAAGACATACACAATGACAACATTCTGAATCTCTAGCTTTACCGTGTGCTAAGTGGTAAGGAAAAACGTAGTTTGACCCCATAAGACCTCAGTTGGCCCGGTCCAAACGTTCTTGGAAACAAACAACTCACAAACTTAGTCACATATTGATATAAACTGAGGTAGTGCAACATAAAAACGTTGAAATTTTGCAAATATCTCTCATATTTGCACTACTGGAGCCAGTCTCGAAAAAACCCTTCCCTTTAAGTCGTCATGACCTATAAATGACGTCAGATCAACCGAATAAGGAAAAACGGCATGCATGGCACTGGGTGAGCTTAGCACATCCTGCAAGTTTAAATCAAATCGATGCACATTACACAGCTCTAGGTTTCATAGAAAAATAAGCGTAGTTTCAGTGCTATGACGTTGCACCGGCTAGCGTGACCTGGTGACCTGACCTAGATGATCGGGTCTGGAAATTGTCGACGCGTCAAAAGAATGCTCCATAGGATTTGCCCAAATCTGACGGAGCCACGCGTCGCCGTTTTGAAGCTATCTACATTCTACAAAAACCTTACATTTTGCATCCCCCGCCCCCCGCCGGGCGAAAGTTAAGTTCTTAAGTCCCACACTGGCTAATGAGGGCAAACACAAACACTCACGCTATGCTCAGAAACAATCAACGGCCTTTGGGGTTCTACACACTTTATTCTGCATAGAAAGGAGACAGCTCGCAGACAATTTATGGCCTGCAGCTTTTGAAATTCTAGTATCCTTCCTCTTGCGTTTCGATTTGAAAGAAGGGGCGCATCGCGACCCTTTTTAGATATTGGAGAACATTTGCGTCTTGCGGTGACGTACCGATCCCTCCCGCCCGGACGCGGGAGGGATCACGCAAAAAATAAACCCCTGAGGCACCTTTGCCCTAGAGAAAATGTTGCAACTGCCACCCACAGCACACACAAAAAATCGCAATTCGCCGCCACGGCAATTGGGACTATGGAGCAGAATGCTGTCGGTGAAATTACGAAGGCACAAGTTTGTGCACTTGCTGTGTGCTTTGCATATATGGAGGTACCTAGTCCTACCTACTTACTACTTAGACATGCAACCTTGAGAGACAAGGAAACGAGCTCAGATGCCAATTTGCAAGGGATAAAGGCCTAGGTACTTACCGACATATATGTCGGTACAAATAGGCAGTATGACCCATGGCCTATAGGCCATGGGTCATACTGCCTATTTGTACCTAAATATAGCGTGATTTAGGCATGAGGCAGTTTTGGATATTTCTCGTAATCTAGCATCAAGACAGGCTGGTACATTTTTCCCGGATCCGGAGCAGCAAGGATGGGTCTTACAAATGCATTCGAAGCCGGCTACGGAGCCGGATTATTCATCCGGAGCCGGAGCCGTTCAAATTGTTAACGGCTACGTCTCCCAGTCGCCCAGCCCTTGCCCAGCCCTATGCATCCCAATTTGATCCAGACATGTGCATGGATCTGGAATCTGATCCCATGGATCTTGATCTTAGATCGAATGGAATCAAAGATCCAGCTTTCTCATTTGCCGTGAGATCAGTTCGGATTATAGCATAGACCAGAATATAATTATACACCACTATATGTATACATAGTGGTCTATGATCATAGCTATGATCACTTTTTGTCAAGAGATCCAGCAAGGTCATAGATCCTTAATTTTTTGTCGACAAGAAATGTTCCAGTGACATTTGTGACAATTCTGAATTCACAATAGTCCTGTTTTTGGGATCTAATATGATCACACATCACAGTCAAACTCAATAACACAGTTTTGGGACATGATCATTGATCAGGCCATGAAATAGCCTGTAATGAAATACGGTTGAAGTGATTACGATTGGTGATGGGATCCACTCCGATCAAAGCTCCGTAATCTGCACTCTGGGTTTGTCGTAAGATCCTATGAGCTCATGGATCCAGGATCCAGGATACCCTGGATACCTACATAATCTTCCACGTGTGATTCAATGGGATCAGAGATCCTAGCTCGTCGTATGCTTCGAGATCCACTGAGATCACAAATCCATCACTCGATCCACGCACATCCACATGTTTGATCAGCACGATTTAGCCTCACCCTGCCGTTTTAAAAAGCCCGAATTTGGTCTGATGATAACAGCGGCGCATGCTCACATCATTCGACAGTCGAAACGCTGTTCAGCCCGAGGCAAAAACCCAACAATCACAGACCACAGTCATTTCATCATTCAACATGCGTCCACCATGCGTAACTCACCTGCTAGCTGCTGAGTGCTGCGTGTGTCAGTGTCATGGTGCAATGCCACACACTCCTCTCCGAACCGCCACCAGCGCCGCGCCCCCTCCTCTCCACTTTCGGCCAAGCCACCAACGGAGTTCTATACCCTTGCCAGCAGTTCTCTATATACCGTGCTTGCCAGCATGGCCAGCGCCGGCGAGCGCCACACCGCCCCAGACGCCGCCCAAGCGCCGCCCGGCGCCCGCTTGGCGCCCGCCACGAAAACAACGGAAACCGCGCCGCCGCCGAACGCAGTCACGTGACGGCATCGCTCAAGGTCGCGCCGACTCTGACTCTGGATGCGCGCGCTCGCGCGGGAACCATGCGGGCGCCGAGTCCCGACCAAAGTAACGGAAGACGGAGCGGGAAACCTCGGAAGGCGGAAACGGTATGAGAAGCGAGATGGCCATCTCGCGAGCTAGATACGAGCATGGTGGAAGCCAGAGCCGTCCAATTTTATCACCCTCACTCTGACTCGGGCCCCGACGCTACCGCAAATATTGAATTTTCAACCCGGCATCGAACCTATTTTATTTATATACCTACACTGTGAACCCAGTATCGAACCGTTCCTAACATGTCTGCGATTACATGATAAGAGGAAATGCGTTTTACAAACGGATTACAATGTTGAGAGAATTGCAATCTCTGTTCAAGATATGCATTAATGCTTATTTTTCATTGATTTTTCAGTGTATTTGACTTTTTTAAGGAACACGGAAGATGAAAGTTTGCAACGAGTCGATTCAGTAGGTACCATGCTTTTACAGGTACCGCTATACGTATTACCATGGATTACCTACTACCTGGATCGGCAACTCCGCGGAATTCCCATTGTATTGCGCGACCGCCCGAAAGTGCTGCCACCTATCGAGCAGACTGATCCCTGCTAAGGACAGCCCGCCGCCGCCGCCCAGTCAGACAGCGGCCGATACCAGCAAAGTCCGAAAATGACCGGCAAGTTACATGGCCTGAACCAGCCGCGGCTAAGTTTGGCATAGGCCAACAGTGTCGGGTTCCGGAAGAGCGGTCCAGGGCGGTTCCATAGACTATGTATCGTTTTGGAAAGAATGGTGTGGTGGGTCGTTTACCGAGCGCGACTGGCCGATTTTACCTCAGCACGTCGTATTGTTAGCTCTCATGGCCAGGCCAGGCGCCTTCTGCCAGCTGCCTGAAAATACCTTCGATCAAACGACTTTGTCTATCACTCGGGTTGCCCCTGATCAGCTTGAGCATTCCATCTCAGTCGTCGGTAGACCGCAGAGGAAATGTGCCGTCCGCCGTGAAACATCCAAATCATTGCTACAGCCATTTTGACTGACTTATAAAGATCAAGACAAATGCTGTCATATCGATTAACGAATATCTGCACCACTGACAATTTCTATCAAGAAGCATTCCAGGATTATAAGCTTACCATACACCGTTTCGTTAAAAAACTGTTTCCATATTGAACTTGTATTTGCCGTCGCATGAGCGAATTGCCTACTGAGTACAGGCTGAAACCGATTCTTTCCGCAGTCAGAAATCATGTGCGAGACCGAGAGCCTATTCAAATAAACCCCGGTCGCACTCGCATCCATAACACGCACCTCCTTGCGTGCGATTGATGCTATTGCAACTTAATGGATTTGAATAGGTTCTCGTGTGCGATTTCCTGACTGTGGAAATAGTCTGTCTCGGCCTGAAGTTCAGAATTTAACACAGGTTCAATGACAACTAAGGTGAACGATGACACACAATGTATACAATGCATATTATTGCATAGACTGATAGGTAGGTTTCGAGAAACGACGTGCCACATGCCTACTAAACGGTGTCGTAGCACCAAGCTGGTTTCCAATTCACACCTACCACCAGAGTATATCGGGAATAAATGCAAACACGATGCACACGAACGCATTATCCGCTCAATGGGTATGCCCGTAGTGGGTATGTTAGTCAGTTACAAACGCTGTGATACCTTAAACATTTTCGGCCGAGCCAGTTCACAGTTCAAACCCCGGCTGCCTGCTGCCGTCACGTCACACGTGTCCGCAGTGGGCGTGCACCTGCGAGTGCGTGCATCATAATTCACATCACAAATCACAGGATGCCAATTCAAGTCAGCACACCGTGGAAACTGAACCCATCTCTTTGATCTGAAACGAAGAGTGAGAGAGGGAAATTAGATACCTGAGCATACCGTAATGAAATGGAGAGTGAGGGCATTCCAAGGCAAACTGTTTCCCCACAACATCACAAAAAGTATTTTACATTGCGATGATGTTGGCAAAAAATAAAATAAATAATACCTTGACAAGATACTCCCAAACAAAAGTACCCAAAAGCTTAACACCTTATCTGCTAGGCTTACATAGTTTAAAATGGCTTTATCTTACTTAAATCTATCTGCTATCTACACACAGTTTGGCTAGCACTCGTTCTAAAAAGGTGATTGTTATATATCATTCAATAGAGGGAAACTCACAAACTTCTTCGTACTACTCTGGACCTTTTGGCTTTGAGAAAAGAAGGAAGCTGATGTCAGGGACCAGGGTCGGCACTCTTTTGTCATTTGTGGTTGACAATGGCACTGGCTGCCATTAGGCTTTCTTTTTACTGTCAAATGGTTCAGTTTTTCAGGCTGAGAACATGATTTATTTAAATGAGTTTTTTTATTCAATATCACTCAACTATTTATGAAATCAGGGCATTGGCAAGCAGGTTATAAAAATTAGCTGAAATGACATGATGCCAGTCAACTGCTCCTGAAGTGTGTTGCACTCTAGTCAGCCGTTCAGAGAAATACGTAGGAAACTGATATGGGTGAGCAGTGAGTCTGAACAGTGAGCAGTTGACCAATTTATAGGTAGGTATTGGCACTACACAATATAAAACAGAAACCATTTTCAATAGTTGAACAAATATTGAGTTAAAAAATAATGGCACACTAACTGATTTTGCTAAACTAAAAACTTAACAAAAACTTAAGCAATTCGCAACTAACAATGCATCATCCACCACCTATCATGCGCTGCCAAGACCGAAATTGTATGATCACAAGCAAAACCATGGCTATATCAGCGGCATGTATAAGCTTGAGATATGATGTGTCAAACATATAACAAACATATAAAAACATAAAATTAAACATATAAATAAGTGATTAACCATTCAATTACGGAAATTATACGATTTTTAACGACATATGGCGAGAAGCAATGTGCGCCAGTATCGTCAACAGCCGCTCTTTACAGTCATATTTTAGGCCACTCAGACCCTCCAACCACAAAAAAACCTTACCAATCTTACCTTGCCATCTTCCTCCATCTTCTGAAACCTTCCAATCTGCTCCAAAGGGGCTTAACTTTTCAAAAAACAAGGCAAACGATCCTACGACGCGACGCCGACCATTGTTTTGAATAGCACCCGCTCCCCCGCGTCCTTAGCGCTCGACACCACTGCCACCTAGCGGTGGTCACAAACATCGAGGAGTTGCCGATCCCAGGTACTACTTCATCCATGGTATTACGTAGGTATACGTAGGCACCGACACTCATTAGTTATAGTAAGCCCGCTACTCCATAAAGCTTCTTGTCAACGCAAAAACAGCAAACGTTTTGAAGGGCGTCTATGCCGTCTAACCGTCTAGAGGCCGTTCAAGTTCTGTCGGGCTGGGCATGCTTAATTCTACATGTATGTATTAATGCAGAATACAAAAAGACATTTGCATGAATTCATTTTCAGAGTTGATATAGGGTGATGTTTTATTGACCTACGGCCACCTAGGAAGCCCTCAGCGGCGTATTTAGAAAATCGCGAAGGGGGGGGCCAAGGGTTTGGAGGGCGCCACCTCACCCAAGGAGGGCGCCATACGGTCGCGAGATAAAAAATCACTCAACGGGGGGGGGGGGGGGGTTGGGAGGCGTTTTTTACCATGCCACCAGTTTTTTTTTTGCGTAACCTCGTATAGGTCGTGCTGCATTGATTTTGCATCGTGTGTATTCTTTATACTCCAGGTCACAAAAGGTCAAGTGGTCTTGAAATGCTGCGCCGAAGGCGCGCGAAATTTTTGAAAACAACCTTTTCCTCCGCTTTTTAGGCACGCCTTTTATACGATCACTGTTCAAAGCTCCTCTCGCTCTTTTACCAAATTTGAAGGTATAAAAAATACCTAAGGTTTGGTCGGGCCGCTGCCACACAAACTGTATAGAAAGCTTGGCTCATGGGTGTCGATGTATAAAAGTTTATTGGCGGTGGCATATCTACGCACCAGATCACCGTATCGGATTGATACCGGAGCGCGAGATGCGTATACATCATCCAAATTACCTCAGACCAGCCTTCATAGCCTTCTCACAGGTGCATACAGTGTACCCACATAACCAGTTTCAATCACCGAAACTTCAGATGCCTGCTGTTGCGGCCGAACCTGTTGACAATACTTAATCTTAATACATATAGATGCCATGATGCACGTAAAGTAGGATCAATCCGTTAAGACCAAAGACGTGTTTTATGCATCGTAGAGCGTAGATAGTTTTGGTAGGTATAGGTACTTCATTCATTGTGCTGAATGCACGTTCATTTGTGGCCGTTTTCACAGGCAAGACATCAACTATGTGCAATAGAACGACTAAGTTGAAGAACATGCCAAAGGAGTAAATAAATGATAGGAGGGCAGCGATCAACGGATGTTGCCAATAGGTAGAAGGGCTGCGATCCACAGGAGGGCGCTAATAGGTAGAAGAGCCCCGATCAACATCCCGAGTTTCGACAGTAGGGCACCGATAGGTAGGAAGTTGGCGAGCAGCAGGAGGGCGCCAATGGATAAAAGGGCAGCGATCAACAGGAGGGCACCAATAGGTAGGAGGGCCCCGATCAACAATCAACAGGAGGGCGCCACCAGGTAAGAGGGTGGCGAGGAACAGGAGAGCACCAATAGGAGGGTGGCGATCAACAAGAGGTCGTCAATAGGTGGGAGGGCGGTCATCAACTGCAAGTCGCCAATGAGCGGAAGGGTGACGATTAAAATGGGGGTGGCAATGGTGAGGAGGGCGCCTTTGCTCAAGAGGATGACACGAACAGGACGGCGTCTGTGCGGAGGGCGCTGGTCAACAGGAAGGTGCCAGTAGATAGGAGGGCGGTGATCAACAGGAGGGTGCCAGTGGTTAGGAGGGCGGCGATCAACACGAGTGCGCCAATAGGAGAAGGGCCCCGATTAGCATTCAACAGGAAGGACTAGGGAACCAATAGGTAGGAGGGCGGCACTGAACAAGAGGGTGCCAAAAGGGAGAAAGGCGGCCTTCAAAATTTCACATGAGGGCGCAATAGGTAGAAGAGCGCCAATAATTATGAGGACGCCGATCAGCAGAAGGGCGGCAATGTGTAGCAGGGTGGCGACCTACAGGAGGGCGCCTTCGGGTGAGAGGGCGCTTATTTACAGGACAGCGGCTTACATAGGCGACCACCGTTACGCTTAGAGAGCTACAGCCTACAAATGTGGTTGGAGGGCGCCCGAGGGAGCCCTCCAACCGTATTTGGAGGGCGTATTTGGAATGGGCGTCCTCCGAGGGCGCCCTCCATCCGTATTTTCCCTGTAAACACATTCGCGATTGGAGGGCGCCCTCCAGTCGCGATTGTTTTTCGATTCGATTATATCACAATTGCATTTGCGATTGGAGGGCGCCTTCGGCGCCCTCCAATCGCAAAGGGCGCCTTCGGCGCCCAAGGGAGGGGCCATGGCCCAGTGGCCCCCCCCCTGCCTACGCCCCTGGAAGCCCTAGACATTTCGGTAAATAGCCAGCCGGCGGCCCTCTGTCAACATATTTGCAGATGATTATGTACCTATATAATACCACTTGATACAGAATTATATACCATTCGCACTTTTTATGAAACTAATTACAAGATTCTACTGGTGCTGAGAGTGTTGTGTGAACTGGAAAGCAAATACAGGAGCATAAATATAGATGCCATATATGAAATATGTGCTAAGGCTTGGTGTGTTAGCTCATTAGCACATTCAGAAAGGTAATTTGTGGGAGACGGGCAGCTTTCCCCAAAAGTCGTCAAAACTGTTCCACTGTTCCTCAAAGTTTTTGATCCCACAATTCGCTTCTTTATGCTCTGCCGAGCAGTTAACCCTCGCCGGCACAGGCCATTTTGAGTCCTTCGACGGCACAAGGGGGGGGGGGTTGGTACGACCCCCCCTCGCGTTTGGCCCCTGATCGAGCTAGAGCTTCGCGGAAAAAACGAGCGTGTTGCCCGTCACGAGAGGAAGCCGATGATACCCAATTTTAAGGTCCTAGGTCATCGGGTGACCTTCCAGGTCAGGTCAATGACCCGAAAACCGGGAAAATCGGGACCTGTTAGAAAGTCGTAAAGTGTGGCTGCTATGTGGTTTTCCGGGGTGCTGATCACGAATATCGTGTTAGTTTTGATCATAGATGATGTCTTTAAGCATTTAGACCAGGTCAGTGTTCTAAAATTGGATTTTGGATGGGTGTGCTGACGGAGAAAAAATAATCGTAGGATGAGAAAAAAGGAAATAAATAACCAAAGTGTATTTGCAAAATGGTATAATGCCAATTTGTATGCCAACTGATAAACCAGGATTTCATGTCAGAATCTTGACAGGTTGTGAAACAAAAATGTGGGTGCATCAACCTGTCAAGTGACATGTAAACTGGCTGTTGGAAATACATGAAACTTTTTTCAGAGAGGAAGCTAAGTCGGTCATTCGTATTTTAGGGATGAAAGTATTTTCCCCTAATTTGCCACCAAAAAGTCTGAAAAATGGAACACTGGACCAGGTCGGGTCAGGTCAGGTCAGGTCAGGTCAGGTCAACCGGTAGGGGTTGTGACGGGTATTCGTAATACGTGTCAACCGCCTCGGACAGCTTCGTAACATGTAACGAAGGCACCAAAACTACTTCGTAAATGTTCAAATGGTTGCTAAATTCGAATTCAGCTCCAAAAACTAGCCTAGAAACATGTAAAACTCGAAAAAGTGAACCGAGGTCACCCGAGGTCACCAAAGGTAAATGACCTGACCTGACCTTCACGTGACCTTGACACGCACCCTAATGCATGGGAGCAACATCAAATCACATGTTTGAACGTTTGAAACCACGAAAAGCTTGCAAACGCGCGGCTAATGCGAGCCGACATGCGCCGAACCGCGATTTCGGCCAAACATGGTCACAGAAAAGAGGTCACAGGTCAAAGGTCATTAGGGTCAGGGTCATGAAATTTTCAGGGTAGGTGTAAAATTGATCAATGCGAGGGTACTGAAAGTTTCGTCGCGATCGGCCGCTTTTTACGCGAGTTATTCGCGAAAAACCTTAGGGGGGGTTGCATCAACCCCCCCCCCCTGTGCCGGCGAGGGTTAAGCAGTTAAAAGGCAAACTTCTTCCGTTAAAATTTTCATGGTTTTCTTTCTATATAAGGAAAACTATAAATCAGTTAAGTCAAATTTTGGACGCACCCTATCCCTCTAATCTATCCTAAGTCCACACAAATTCTTCGCCTCCTTCCTGGTCCCAGGGTAGAAGGTCGCCTTCCGAATCGAGTAGCTGCAATCGGAGTATGCTTCTGTGCGACACGCAGTGATCGTTTACCAGGCTGTGTGAATTTATTATCCCTCCAGACAGTCTCTGCAGTCTCGGCGGTGCACCAGGGTGGGCGGTGGCCGCTTACACCAATCTCTTTCCCAATTCCTATATAAGTCATCCTTCCGACTCTCAAATGATCGACGGGAAATAATAGATCGATTCGGTCTAACCCAAACAGTTCAATATATATATATATATATATATATATATATATATATATATATATATATATATATATATATATATATATATATATATATATATATATATATATATATATATATATATATATATATATATATATATATATATATATATATATATATATATATATATATATATATATATATATATGTGTGTGTGTGTGTGGGTGTGTGGGTGTGTGGAAGCTTTCTTCATCTAAGCAGGTATACATACATATGTATGTATGTATGTATGTATTACAATCATGGACAATCCACACGGGGCGTGGCGATTACAGTCCAGAGTCTGAGACGGGTTGGAACAAAAACATGCAGGGGCAGTAGAACACAGGCATAACGATTTAATCACTGGACACTCACTCTCTATATACATACGGACAATTCAAGTCAACGCGCCACACACGGCTGCGGGTACCCCCTCCCCCTGACATGAGTCAGCGTCGGGCGGTCGCGAACGCCGGACAGACTGCAGCAGCGGCGTATTTAGAAAATCGCGAAGGGGGGGGCCAAGGGTTTGGAGGGCGCCACCTCACCCAAGGAGGGCGCCATACGGTCGCGAGATAAAAAATCACTCAACGGGGGGGGGGGGGTTGGGAGGCGTTTTTTACCATGCCACCAGTTTTTTTTTTGCGTAACCTCGTATAGGTCGTGCTGCATTGATTTTGCATC